TTTTTTTGAAATGGGGTCTTGTTCTGTTTCCCAGGTTGGAATGCAGTAAGCTCAATGCAATCTCTGGCTCTGGGCTGAAGCAATCCTTCCACCTCAGTCTCCTGAGTAGCTGGAACCATAGGTGCACACCAAGATGCTTGGCTAATTTTTTGTATTTTGGTAGAGATGAGGTTTCACCATGTTGCCCAGGCTAGTCTCAAATTTCTGAGCTTAAGCGATCCTCCCACCTCGGCCTCCCAAAGTGCTGGAATTACAGGTGTGAGCCACTGTGCCCAGCCTTGTCTGTTTATTTAGAAAATAGTCATTATTTGTTTTGTTTTTATTTTTTTGAGACAGGGTTTCGCTCTGTGACCCAAGCTGGAATACAGTGGCATGATCATGGCTCACTGCAGACTCAACTTCCCCAGGCTCAGGTGACCCTCCCACCTCAGCCACTCGAGTAGCAGGACCACAGGCACACACCACCATGCCTAGGTACCTTATGTATTTTTTTGCAGAAATGGGGTTTTGCCATGTTGCTAAAGCTGGTCTCGAACTCCTGGGCTCAAGCTATCCGCTCACCTTGGCCTCTCAAAGTGCTGGGATTATAGGCATGAGCCAGTGCGCCCAGCTAAAAAATAGTCATTGTTTGTTAAAAACTAACCAGTCAACAAATAATGTTAGCATTAAAACACCTCTTTATCTCCCTGAAAAACAGATTGATCTGTTTTTCACAAAATTGTAATCAGTTTGGGCAGGTTCTTAGATGCTTCACTTTTTCTTCACTGGATATATCAAGTGTAGACAGACTCTTCATATTGATTTTTAATGGTCAAATATTAGTCTTTGTGCTGATGAAACACAATGGTCGTGACTGCAGGCATTCTAATTTCTTAATTCTCAGCTCCTTGCAGCAGAACATCCCCCAGGGAATCTGATGTAGAGGCCTGTTTGGCTCTCGGGGTAGAAGGTTAGGAGCGCAGACGATGCAGAAATGCCTCTTGGACTACACTTCGTTCGTGTGTGTGTGTGTGTGTGTGTGTGTGTGTGTGGTTTTTGTTTGGTTGGTTTTTTTTTTTTTTTTTTTTTTTTTGAGACGGAGTTTCGCTCTTGTTGCCCAGGCTGGAGTGCAATGGCGCGATCTCGGCTCACTGCAACCTCCGCCTCCTGGGTTCAGGCAATTCACCTGCCTCAGCCTCCTGAGTAGCTGGGATTACAGGCACGTGCCACCATGCCCAGCTAATTTTTTGTATTTTTAGTAGAGACGGGGTTTCACCATGTTGACCAGGATGGTCTCGATCTCTTGACCTCGTGATCCACCCGCCTCGGCCTCCCAAAGTGCTGGGATTACAGGCGTGAGCCACCGCGCCCAGCCTGGTTGGTTTTTTTTTAGAAGTGGGGGGGGTGTCTTTCTATCTCAGCCAGGATGGTCTTGAACTCCTGACCTCAAGTAATCCTCTCACCATGGCCTCCTGAGTAGCTGGGACCACAGGTGTGCACCACTGTACCTGGCTTCTGTGTTGTGTTTCAAGCAGCAGACAGATGCCCCGGCTGTACCAGTAGCCAGCAAGGGGACCACACATATGCTGACAAAACTTTTGACTGCTAGGAAGGGGTTAGTCTTTTATCCATGTTAGCCATCTGATACTCTGGTAGGAGAGCTGAGAGGGCCGAGTAGGTCCACAGGAAGAGCTGTGGATCATTTTGTGCGCTGGCTGAGTAAGCAGCGACCTGGGGTTCAGTTGTGTTAGTAAAAGTTGAAGGTGGTGGCTGGGCCTCGGGAGGGAGCAGGGATCCTAGGGGTTGCCTATGGGTTGGAATCAGAGCGCATTTCCAGGCTCAGCAGCAGAGAGGTTGGGACAGCCCTGGGTGAGGAAGGCAGAAGCTTCTGGATCTGGCTGAGGAGCCCTGCAGCCACCCTGGTCTGAGGAGGTCAGTGATACCCCAGCACTGTGACCCCTCCTCAGCTGATTGGGCAGCTGTCCCCAGAAGAGCTCACCTGCCTCCCTGCCATACACACACCTCTCCTCCCTCCTGGCATCTCCTGACCACATGGCAGTGTGGGGAGGGACAGCTGCCAGCTGTCTGCACCATGATGGGTGTTCGACAAACAACAAGCATGAATGGGAAGGCTGTGCTGCTGGGCCCAGTCAGGAAGAGGCAGGAAGAGGAAGCAGAGCAGCCACTGCTGGTTCACTCTGGCTTGAGGGAGGATGAGAGAGAAGGGGCTGTGGAGTAGGGTGAGGGAAGGGCATGGAGAAGAGCTGTTGTGGCCTCCCCCTAGGCAGTCAGGGAGAATCAAGTCCAGGAAGTAGGGGAGGGAGACAGCAGAGGGAGGAGGGCTCTTAAACGGAGGCGGGCTTAGGATTTCTTCCATATGGAAGAGTGGCCTCCAGCTCCCCAGTACCCTTGCTTCCTGCCAGAAACCTCATGACTATTGCTAACTTCCGAAGGTCTCCAGGTACTCACACAATCTACTGTTTCCCTTCAAGATCTGGGATGAGAGTGTGGGGGCTCCATGACCCTACCTGCTCCTTCCCTATAGGGCCAGGAACTGCCCTGATCATTGGGCTGGGTGGGAGAGAGTAAAGTCACATTGCCCTATGGGGACACGGTCTGTTGCCTTCCCTTCCAACTCCCTGGCCTCTTCATGTCTCACTGGGCCCATAAAGGAGAACAGGAGGGGTTCTCTGGTACAAAGGTGGAAGTCACCCTGACAGGGACTGCCAGACAGATGACCAGCCTCCAAAGACAGGGAGAGGGTGGGGCAGAAGATGCTATGAGGACCACCAGAGAGCCTCTTCCGGGTACCTCCAGCAGCGGCTCCACAGTTCTGCATAGTAGGGGCTTAAAGGAAGCCATCTCCTTGGCTCCAACATTTGTTTTCAGCACCACTCTCTGCTGAGAGCCCTGGCTTGGGAGGGGAACTCCCAGACTTCCATCCACGCTAAGAGAGCCAGCCTGGAAAAGCCCCAGAGGACAGTGGCTCACAGTGAGGTTTCAGGAGCCAAAACGTGGCACAGGATTGGCCCAGGCTGAGTCTGTGCCACTTGGCCTGGGTCCCTGCCACACACACCCCTACTCCCTCCTGATACCCTCTGCCCAAGCACCCGTAGCATCAAAACTATCTTCTCCCTATTTCAAAAACCCTGCCCTAGTTCTTGGTCCTTGCTTTCAGAGTAATCCGGTAAACAAGGTAGCATAGTGCCCAAATTACTATGTTCCTGCACCTAAAGAAACCCTCATTTGACAATAAAGTGCCCTTATGACCCAGTGATTCTAGTTCTAGATCATATATCCAACAGAAATGTACAAATATGTTCACCGAAACACATGAACCAGAATGCTTCCAATGGCCAGACTGGAACCCACTCAAAAGTCTATCAAAGTGGAACAGTAAATTCACTGGATTATATTCACACAATGGCATACTACATAACACTGAGAATAAACAGTCTACAATGACACATAGTACTATGAATGAATCTCACAAACAATGTCAGGCAAAAGAAGCCAGACACTTCTTGGTGGTATGATTTCATTGACATTAGCCATGAGGGCAATGGTGACCTCTGGGGGTTGGTAACAGGGAGGGGGTGCCAGAGGGCTGCAGGGGCCTGGCAGTGCTTGGTTTCTTTACCTGGGTAGAGGTTACACAGGTGAAAACTTACTGAGCAGACTGGTCACTGCTCTGTCACTGAGCAGTTGAGAGACCAGTTGTCCTGGTTCGCCTGGGTGTGTTCCCATGTTAGCACCGAAAGTCCCGTATCCTGGCACACTGGGACTGCTGTCTCCTGGCCCGACTGTGGGAAGTGGGCAGCCACATGGGCTTCCTTGGCCCCTGTCACCTCAACCCCATATGAAGATGGAATCCCTGCCATGACCCACTCCTGGGTTTGTTCTGAGGATCAAATAAGGTCCTATGTGAAAATCTGTAGCTGCAGAGGAACCTTATGCTACAGAAGTGGGAAAACTCACTGAAGAACAAACAATAAGGCAAGTCTCCTTGACGGCTGGAGGGGGACCCTGGGACCAAGCCAGGCCACAGGGCAGCTGGGGCTGAACAGAGTGAGCTGACCAAGGACTGCTTCTCAAGGGTCCGGTTCCCCCTCCCCCCCCAGAGATCAGTGTCAGCACTGCTCAGGCCTGGGGTGGCCCTGACAGCAGCAGGCTGGCCCTGCCCCTTCCCTGCTATTCTTTACTTATCCAGGGAGCCAGGAGTCAGGCAGCTGCTGTCTTCACTTGTCAGCCCCCCTTCGGGAGGGGAAACAGGCAAGGAAATGCACACCTGGCCTGGGGTTTTTCTACTGATCTGGGGGAGGCTGTGGCAGGGTTGTGGGGAGTGGGCTAATCCCAGATAGGAAAGAGGTTAATTGTCTGGGCTACAATGCCTGTGGTGCAGGTTCCTCTGAGGGGACTGTCCTAATAAGCCACAGTGAGTAAAGTTCCTGAGCACTTGAAAAAGTCACATTGCACAAAAGTCACCCCAGTTTTGCTAAAGCTTTTGTACTACTGGATTCTAAACCTGGTTGTGCATCAGAATGGCCTAGAGCCTTCTCTCACACTTGGGTCTGAAGGCCCCAGGGGTCTAAGAAAGTATTCCTGGAGGTCTTCCTTATTTTCTATGAAAATGTTAAAATTTTTCCTTTTGCTTTGAGAATAAAATCATTATTTTAATGAAGGCATACACATCTGCATCTTTGGGGACATCATCCCATAACTGCATGTGGCTGCACAAGTTCAGGGGCTGCCATACAAGTTCTGAGGCTAATGACTGCACTGTGGAGCTTCGGAGACTAAAGTAGCCAGACCCCACTGAGAGAGTGTTCTCAAGCCTTGTTACTCAGAGTGTAGTCCTCGAACCAGCACAGTCACAACTTAGAGCCTGTTAATATGCAGCATTTCAGGTCACCCAGACCCGAACAAAAACCCTGCAATGTAAGGAGCCACCTAAGTGAGTCAGGCATGTTCATGTTTGTGAAACACCTGCCTAGATGGCTGGCCTTCCCTCTCCTTCTGCAGTATTGTTCATAGAAAGGGCTTCGTATTTCCCACCTGATTTTTCAATTCTAATCACCGTTACTTTCTTTTGCCTGTTCGTCCCATTGAAGGCTCTATCAATAGTGCTTATTAATTCATCCATACACTGGACTCAGAGGTGAGGCTGGTAGTTGGGGTCCCCATGCCATGAAGATGGAGTGCTACGCCCTGAAGACAACGAGGACGGCAAGAGATATGCCCCTGGCCTCCTGACGTCCTTCTTTGTGGACCCACACAAGTGAGGTTTTATTGCTTGGTGCCAGCCACATTTCCCACCCTCCTGACCAAAGGCCCCAGCCTGGCCAGCTGTGGGGACAGCGAGTGCCCAGAATGGGGCTCTCAGTGTGTGTAGCTACATGATGCTGCAGAATATGCAGGCTACTGACTCCTTGGGAGCCCAGGAGCAGGGTGGGCTGTCAGGGATGGGAGGGGAGCCTGCTACCGCCTGACTTTGGGGCAGACTCCCCATCATGACAATGGCAGTGCAGCCTGGGGACCCTCCTGTGAGACCCTCGGCCCCCACACCCAAGTGCCCCGGCACTCACAGGATGTAGCAGATGACCCCGATGCTCCACATGTCTGTGGCGTAGCCGATGGGCTCATAGTTGATCACTTCAGGAGCCACAAACTCCGGAGTGCCAAAGAGGACCTTCAGAGACCCCGCGTTCTCTGCAATCAGGATGGAGAGGGATAAATTACTAGCACATCATGGAGCCAGCTTGAGGCCAGCAGCTGCCTAAATCTGTGTGTTGGCCCCAACTTTGGAGGGTCCAGACACAGGCTTTGCCTTCAAGTGCTTGCTCCTTGGTAACGGTACGGAGACATCTGACCTCCTTGTTAAACAGGTGCATCAACACACCAGTGAAACCAACAAACCACACACTCACCTCATATGTCTTATACAGAGTGGGCAGGGGTAGAAGAGGCCGTTAAAGCACCTGCCCCTGAATGGTCTTTTTGTGAGTCTGTCTCTCTCATGAGTTAGTTCCCCTAGGCAGGGACTGTGACTTATGCTTAATAATAATCTCTGATATTCACTATGTCCTGTATACCCTGCCGGCAGCTTTACAAGCGTTCTCCCCAACCCTAAGGGGTAGGTACAGTGCCGGTGCTACCGAGGATGTGCGTGAGGCCCAGGGAAGTGCAATGATTTCCCCACTCGGTTAACAAGTGGTGGTCAGGACTGAAGCCCAGGTAGTCCGACTCGTGAGCGTGCTCACCACCACCACTCCTCCCTCCTGCCTCTCCTGCTCCTCACATGGCTTCATGGGTGTCCTCTGGAGCTGCTGGGAGGGCAGGTGGGAGAGGCTTCAACCCCAGGGTGGTGCCTCTTGGCCATAAAGGACCAGAGATGCCTGTGAATACATGCAAAAGGCAGGTACCTGTGGGCTACATCTTGTCTTGTTTAACTTCGCAGAGCTCACAGCAAATGTTCTAAAACAAAGCATTTAACAGCCCTCAGATGAAAGCTCTGCTCCAGTCAATACCTGCCCCTCGGCCCTTCCTGCTATGTGTTAGCCACTTCCCAGTTCTCTGGCCCTTGCCAGACACAGTTGTTCCCACAATATCCCTCACCAGGGGAACCTGGACATTGTGTTCCTTGGGCTCTGACACTGCTGACTCCTGAGGCCAGCGGCCTCACTTTTCGTTTAATTTATTGGTGCTCACTGGGTTCAAAGACAGACCCTGTATGGCAGCAGCTGCCCTTACCCTGTCCTGTTAGCAGGAGTGAGCAGAGCAGGCACATGTGCCCAGCGTCAGGGCGTTTCTCACCTGACTGTGCTGACCACCAGACCAGTCATGGTCTATCAGAACCTTGCCCCCTCGCCCTTTCCTCTCTATGACCAACACATTCTCAGCCACCACTGAGCGTCCTGGGAGGCAGTTATTGGGTGGCATTCATTTGGCCCCTCTTTTCTACTCCCTGCAGGGTGGTGAAATAAAGCCAGCTCGCCCTAGCCCTAGGCTCCTTGCTAGCAGGGCAGTGGCTGAGAAGGGAGGATGAAGCTGTTTCCTCAATCACTGGGGGATCAAATGGCTGCAGAGGCAGACTGGCACCTACCAAAGTGCTTTCAGGGCTGGCCTTGAGACCCTGACCATCTCCCCCGTGACTTCTCTCCTGGTTAGCATAAGAGTTGCAGAGGTGCTGCAGAGCACCCTGAGCAAGGTCTGGAGTCCTTGTTCCAACCCCAGTACATCCCCTGGCTCACAGTGGGACCTCCTGGGCAAAGTTATTGTGAACCTTGGTTTCCTAATCTACAAGTTGGGGCTCATAAAATCTACCCTGCCCACCTCATGGTGAGAATTATAGGGATGATTTTTTATGTGAAAGTGCTCTAGAAACTGCATAGTATGATGCAGATATGCAGAGCCATCATCACCAAAATGACTTTTGCTGCTAATGGCACCAGAGTAAAAAACAAAAGGGGATAATCATCATCACATACACAGCTAACGCCTAAGCAGTCTTACTATGTGCAAGGCACTCTTCCCATCCCTTTACCTCTATTAACACATTTGATCCTCCTAACAAATCTGTGAGTTAGGTTCTACTATCATCCCACTTTTCTGATGGGGAATTTGAGGCTTCCTGTCACATCCAGTATATGCTAGGGCCAGGATTCGAACCTGAGACATCTTCATGGTCTCGGATTTAACCCCAATACTGCACATTTCCTCTTACATCCAGTGTGTGGAACACAAACACCCACTGCAATACACGGTGGTGTCTGTGGGAGAGGCAGGTAAGGCTTACCCAGCCTCCTGGCCAGACCAAAGTCAATGAGCTTGATCCTGGTGCCCGTCTTGTTGACACACATGATGTTCTCGGGCTTGAGGTCCAGGTGCACGATGCCCTGCTTGTGGATGTACTCCACCCCCTCCGAGATCTGCCGCATGTACTTGATGCACTCGCGCTCCGTCAGCTCAAAGTCCTCATCGATGATGCGCTCAAACAGCTCACCCCCTGACACACTGTGGGAACAGGAACACGGGGCGGTCAGGCCACAAGCTCATGGAGGCCAGGCTGGCAGGGAGTCTGGCCAGGGTAGGCTGGGGGTGGGAGAAACTGGTAGGAAAGCCCAGGGAATGGGGGTAATGGGCACTTCCTGAATCCCTGCCCTCCATCAGGGGAGAAGGGTCAGGGCCTCCTGGTTTTCCATTGTGAAATCCTCCCCTGGACCCTCTAAGCTTCTGGTGATTCAGGGAAGCATCTATGCCAGGCAGTTTCAGAGGTGGGTGTGAACAGACACGATCGTCTTAGCAAAAAGGGTGACCTCTGAACAATCTCTTTCCCTCAAATGACCACAAATGCCTAAGGGAACATTCTTGTACCCTAGCCATGTCTTTCAGTCACAGGCAACTAAAGTTCAAAATACTCACAGTTCCCACAAGCATTTGTTTTGCATAGCCAGGAACAGAAAAATATCTTCAATCTTCAATAATGAGCCTCAGCAAATTTTCTAAAATTAGTTGGCTGTAACCCATTATGCCTACAGCTGTGATAGATTTGCTTACTCTGGCTAGGCCTATAGTATTGGTTTACTCCCTGCAGTCATAATTAACTGGTCTCCCCTGGACCCCTTGCTTGCCCCAGCTGTGTAAGCCTTTCTGCCTGGATAGGTTTTGGATCCTGGCTGTGTCTAGCCAACTTTGCTTCTGCAGTTGCAGGCATGCATCCTCTGCTAGGGACTACCCCAGGGCCTCAGCCGTCAGCATATTGCCCTGCAGTGCAAATGCATGGCCCCCTCACCTGAGTTGCACGAGTCCTCTCTGTTCCCCTGTCTCAGCCCTCTGACCCACCTTTATTGGTCTCTGCTTAGCAAGTTTAAATCATCTCCCTGGTAATTTATGTAGCACCTAGATATCAGTAAGCCTGCTTTTCTTTTTCAAATTTTTTTTTTTTGGCAGAGACAAGGTTCTTATTGTGTTGCCCAGGCTGGTCTGGAACTCCTGGCCTCTGGTGATTATCCCACCTCAGCCCCCAAAGTGCTGGGATTACAGGCATAAGCCATCATGCCTGGCCTATAAGCTTCCTACCTTCCAAAGTACTGGGATTTACAGGCATAAGCTATCATGCCTGGCCTATAACCAACCAACCTATCTTCCTTCCTTCCCTCCCCTTCCCCTTCCCCTTCCCATTTTCCTTTCCCTTCCTTTTCCTTTGCTTTCTCTTTTGAGACAGGGTCTTGGTCTGTCACCCAGGCGTGAGTGCAGTTGTGTGATCACAGCTTAACATAACTTGGAACTCCTAGGTTCAAGCGATCCTCTGGCCACAGACTCCCAAGTAGCTAAGACTACAGATATGTGCCACTGCACCTGGCTAATTTTTTAATGTTTTGTAGAGACAGGGTCTCTCTCTGTCACACAGGCATAAGCTCATGTTTCTACAGTGGCCTGTGGGTTCACCAGTTGAACAAGGCCAGGTGGGCTCCGAGCCTCTCCTCTTGCAAGGGTATTTCCTCTCCTACAGAGTCCTCATGAAGAGGAAAGGAGCTGAGTTTGAATCCTGCTGCTGCCTTTTATGAGCTGTGTGACATTGGACAAGTTTCTTAGCCTTTCTGAGCCCCAGTTTCCTTATCTATCCCTGCCTCATAGAGTTTTTAGGAATGCAGAAGACTTTGTAAAATATGCCTAACACCCAGTAGGTGCTGAACACCTATTACTTGTTGTTTGATAAGGTGTGGTAGGCTAGGTGGATCTTCTCACTGACCCCTGCAGGAGAGAGACAGGGATGCACTGTAGGGCCCAGCATACCACAGCCTCTGCCTCGTGACACACACACTCACTTCTGGAGGGGCTGAGTACTGTGCCAGTGACAGCTGGAGGGACATTTTAAAACCCATCTGAGAAGAAGGTCCCCACAGGGCCAACAGGTGGCGCTCTTGTCCTTATGCCCTCCAGTTCTATTGCTCTCTACCAAGGCTCCAAGTCAAACTCTAACGTACATTCTTTGGTCTCAGACAGTTAACATCTCAGTGCTCCATTTTCCTCATCTGTAAGATGCAGGTTAAAAACAGCCCCACCTCACAGGTTGCTCCAAAGACTAAATGAGTCATCGCAGATAAAGTGCTTGGAAGTATCTGGCACACAGTCAATGCTCAATATTAATGATGAATTTTCTATGTAAAGAATCACTTGAGGCTCTTATTAAAAATACAAATTCTCAAGCTCTTCCTCTGGATATTTTGATTTAGAAAGTATTGGGAGAAAGCTGAGGATCTTTATTTGTAATAATTACTCCAGGTCATCCTTATGATCAGCCAAGTTTGAGAAATACTGGCTTACTCAACTACCATTCCCGGGAAGCCAGCTGAAATTCACACCCTCTGAAAAAGTCACACCCCATCTCCCCATACGGAATGATCTTTTCCTCCCTGGGTGTCCATGGCCCTAACGTCCACAGCCTTGTCTCTGCACTTTCTGTATCAAGTTGGCTTTGCCTTGAAGTTCTGAACATGTCTGCAGACGGGTGGGCTTATCTCTAGACTCTTATTTGCCTCCGAGTAATTTGGCACAGACAAGGTGCTCCAAAATGTTTACATTTAAATTTAAGTATTCTGAAAAAGCAAGCAAGCACGGTTTTTAATGCCCTTGGGAATGTCTGAGGCAATGAGTGGTGGGAATCTGAGCCATGGAGATAATTCCTGCCGCATTTCTGGAGGAAACCTATTCAATATAAATTCAAATAGGTTCAATCCTATTCAGACAAATTTGATATATTTTGAAAACTGTTCCTATGGTTCAACTTTCTAAGATGGAAGGGGTTAAACAGGCAGGATTAATGGTTCTGTGGGTTTCTTTTCAAAATTCTCAGTGCTATGGGTGGAAAATACTGATTTGAAAGACAGAACCTGCCACCCATAGACATAGGAAAATGCCAAGGGCCAAGATTAGGCTTAACAAATTAATGGTGAGTGAGTGAATGACTAAATGACTAAATAAATACGTGATCCCTATCTTAAGGAATCAAATTTATCCCCCAGACCCCAGACCTTGGCTAGCCCTCATAGGAAGCCAGAGAAATGGTGCTATCAGTGGACTTGAGACCCTCTGCTCCTTGCCCCATGGAAACCAGCTGGAATGTTCTTTGATAAATTTTGCTAATAGTAGCACAAACATGAGATGAGCCATGAATGACACAGCTTAAACGTCACATTGTCTTCAATGCTCAGGGTCCCACTTCCACCTGGAAATGTCCCAAGCACTTCCAAAAGGACAAGCCCAGCTAGGCCAGGGGGCTGAAGGAACCGCTGTCAGACCACTTGCTATATGGTGGGGGCTTGCCCAGTAATCAGAAGTCAGAAAGGCTGAAGACACATTCATTACTATTTCCCACTAGATCTGAGGCAACTGAACCTAAGGCTGGGACCCTGGAATACATTTCCGTTTTTCTATCCCAGGCATCATCCTCTCTTAATCTCAGCTTCTCCATCCAACAAGGATAGCAAATTGCACTGGTGAAAATTATCCTTTCCCTTCTCAGTGATCAAGTCTCGGAGTGTTTAAAGTGGAAGGGACGTACAGATGGAGTATGAACCTGTTCCCTTCTTCTCTGGTTGACTGAGTTCTTACCAAGTTCCTACTCTTGGTGACCTGGCCAAGGTCCCACATGCAGGCAAATCTTCTGGCATCTGGGCATGAAAGACCTGCTTCTGTCCACGGGGGAGGCATGGGGTGGAGGGATGAAAGCCAGGCCAGCTGAAGCCTTCTTAAGTTTTCTCTTTGCTTTTTCCATCCAGCTTGCCAACTCCCAATTCCAAGCTAAGTATGGTATTCTGCCCACTAATGCTGCTTCCCAGCCTTCCCCAGGCCCTGCTGACTCCTGCCCTCCCTGCACCCTCTGAAGAACTTGCTCGAGGTTTAACTTCTAAAGATGAGACATTTCTCCACACATCCTCACATGCCCACACTGCCTGGACTAAGCAACCTATTCTAGAATAAATGGAAAAGAGGCATCCCACAGGGCTACTGTAAGGGTATAAAGAATGAGGCCACAGATGTGGTCTATGTATTTCCTGAAATGGGGAGGAATGTCTGAATTTTGGGCCGAATGTAGATTATAAAATACGAATGGAGATTCTTCACTGTGTCTTTTATGGTTCCACGAAATTGTAGAATTTTATAACCAAAAGTAGCATCTTGAGATTGACTGTTCTCATCCAAGTACCTCGTTGTGCTGGTAGGATTTGACAATTGCAAAATCATGACTCAATAGCAGCAGAAATCGAAGCCAGGCTTCCTGAATACTAGGGAGGATTTGTTCCACAACACCTTGTTGGAAGTTAAATGCTCAAAAAGTACTTTTAAGTGGAAAAAACCAGGATACAAAAAAGTCAATGTATCATACTACCAACAATACCTGCCCATTATAGAGCACGGTGCCTTACGTGCATTATCGCATTGAATCCCACAGCATTCATGAGGCGGACATCATAGCTACACTTATGGATAATAAAACTAAGGATTGGTACAATAGAATAACTTAGTCAAGGTCAAATAACAAGTTAGAAGCAGAGCTGGGATTGGAAGTAAGGTTCATCGACTCGAGTTCACACTCATAGCCACTACTGCCTTTCCTAAGGAACACACACTGAAAGGAAATGCTTGTATGCCAAAATGTTAATGGCATCAGTAGAGAGAAAAGACTAATATTCCACTCATACTTAAAGCTTGGGGATGTCTTACTGGCCTCAACTTTCCCAGGAAAGAATTCCAAGTTCCTGATAGAGCCCTTACTGAAGGACAGAGACCCTCAAAGTTCAGGATGAGCAATTCAAGGATGCTGAAAGCAATTTTACAATATCTCCAAAGATTTCAAATGTGCATACCCTTTAATCCAGCTCTCCTTCACTTCTGGGAACTTATCCTATAGATATTCACTGGCATGAGTGAAAAGATGTGTGTACAAGGTTACAAACGATGCTTGTTCGTAAAAGTAAAAGGCTGGAAACCACTCAACCTCTGATCAAAAGAAGGCTGCTTAAATAAATTGTGATTTTCTATACAACAAAATCCCACAGAACTGTGAGAATGAGGAAGCTCACTAGATACTGATATGGGACTAACACCCATAGCAGTTTGCTGAAAAAGCAAAGTAGGCTAAGTGCAGTGGCTCATGCCTATAATACCCGCACTTTGGGAGGCTGAGGTGGATGGATTGCATGAGCTCAGGAGTTCAAGACCAGCCTGGGCAACATGGTGAAATCTCATCTGTAAAGAAATACAAAAATTAGCTGGGCGAGGTAGTGTGAGCCTGTAGTGAGGTGGGAGGATTGCTCGAACTGGGAGGCGGAGATTGCAGTGAATGGCACCAGTGCACTCGAGCTGTTCTCTCCCACTTCCATTTCTCCAGGGACGTGTGTGTGTGCGCGTGTGTGTGTGTAAACTTATATTTTCATAAAGCAACTTTAGAGGGATACAGATAAAAGCCAATAAAACTGCCTGTTTGTGGTGGTGGTAGCGTTTTGGAAAGAGCAGACAGGAATAATGGTAGAAATTAGACTTTTCACTGTGTATTTCCTAATACTTTTTGAGGTGATTGTATCATATATTCTAAGAATTCAGATAAAAAAGGAAACTGTTAAGAAAGCAGATGATGTAGGGGACGCCTAGCTTACTGATGCCACTGTACATGCTGACTCTGTGTGTGTGTGTGTGTGTGTATGTGTGTGTGTGTGTGTGTGTGTGTGTGAACACATGCACCAGCAGCTCAGAGGTGAGGGAGGTGGAGGATTTGGGTGCTGGAGAAACAGTGGATTCTGGGAAAGCCTTGGCTGGAGGTCATCTGATGCATCCCCTGGTTTTGTAGAACCCCACAGAGAAAGCACCACTCTTTGGAGAGTGAGAAGTCAAAAGGGGTACAAACAACAGTAGACCAGGGGCATGCAGAGACACAGGAGGGGACTGAGGACCAGAGTTAGGGTTAGGAGGCTTCCATCCTGGATTTCAATCCCCCAGCCAGGGACCTTCTTATCTTTCACAGGGAAGTCAGGAAGCTGCCCTGTCCCTCCCCTTTGATTCTGGACCACCTGCAGGTGAGAATGCCCCTGAATGAAACCAAGGAGCCTAGGGATAGCTTTCGTCCTTTCACAGGGAAGATGAGGGCGTGAAAAGTGCCAGGGTCCTCAAAGATCTACTGGTTTGTCATGGAAATAAGCACAGGGCTGAAGCTGGGCTGGGGCTCAGGGCTAGCACTCTGCACAGACCTTCCAGTTCTGTTTGGTCAGGCTGGGCTGTGTGGCTGGTGACTATCTTGCACATCACACTCCTGTCTGCAGTGCTTTCCATCTCAGGGCAGAGGTGGCTAGGGGAGAGCAGTAGGGAAGACACACTGGGGGCTCCCTGAGGTGCTCAGATTGCTGGCAGTGGGCCACTCACATCTCCAGAACCATGACGATGTTGGCCTTTTCTTCGAAGGCATCCACACACTGGACCAGCTTGGGGTGGTGGAGGCAGTTCATGATGCCAATCTCCTGCCGGATATTCTCTTTCTCTTTTGCTGAATACGCTTTGAAGAATTTCCCTGCCCAGACTTTTCGAGTTTTCTTTTCTACAAGTCGAAAGACCTGTCCAAATTTCCCACTATAAATGAAAGGGGGAGGAGAGAAAAGCCACATTTAGCCAAGCTTTCTGCTAACTTGGGGTTGGCAAATTCTGGCCCGTAGGACAGATCTGGCCCACCTCCTTTTATAAGTAAGGTGTTATTGGAGCACGGCCCTGGTTGGCTGTTTGCATGTTGTCTATGGCAGCTTTTGTGCTACAGTGGCAGAGCTGAGTAGTTGTGACAAAGGCATATCACCATAAAATCTAAGATATTGGCCTTTATGAAAGGCCCAACCTCCTGCTCTAGAGCAGTGAGGCACATTTGTTTTTTCTTACCTTTAAACATTTTTTTTTTTGTAGATATGGGGTCTTGCTATGTTGCCCAGGCTGGTCTTCAACTCCTGGCCTCAAGTAATCCTACCACCTTGGCCTCCCAAAGTGCTAAGACTACAAGCGTGAGCCACCACACCTGGCCTTTGAAGCACATTTCTCATGTTGACAAACCTACTGTCAATCTTGGCTAATGGCATCTCTTCCCCTCCCTGCTGTGGGACCCATGAAGATGGGTGGAGACAGCCCTTCCCAAGTGCAGAGAATTACTGAGCAGTTGCCTTCTTTCCTTCCACTCCCTAGCACCAATCCCCTGGTGATGGCCCAGGCAGAGTCCTGCTTCCCACTGCTGGGAGAGGGGAGAGTGGGGCTCCTCCATGACTCCTTTATGGCACTGTTACGGTTTGCATCATTCCTTCATTTCCCAGTAACTGCTGGAAAATACAAGTGGAGTCCCACTTCTTTCTCTCCCACCTCTTCCATTCCTCCAGGGACAGAGTTAGGGGGAGGTGAACAGCTTGGCTCGGGGTTGGGGTCTGAGCCCACTCTATCCTCCACACCCGAGGGAGAAGCCAGAGTAAGCCATGTGGCCAAGTTCATGAAGGGAGCTTGAGTGCTGTGCATTTTAATGGAACACTCAAGCAGGCACCGCGGAACAGCAAGCACTCACCAGGCTCCACTGGCTTCTGTGGATCAAATGGAAGGGATACCAAAGATAATCTAATGCAGTCCTCTAATTTTATTTTATTTTTATTTATTTTTGTTGAGACGGAGTTTTGCTCTTGTTGCTCAGGCTGGAGTGCAATGGCACGATCTTGACTCACTGCAACTTCTACCTCCCAGGTTTAAGTGATTGTCCTGACTCAGCCTCCCGAGTAGTTGGGATTACAGGCTAATCCACGGCTGGCTAATTTTTGTATTATTAATAGAGATGGAGTTTCACAGTGTTGGCCAGGCTGGTCTCAAACTTCTGACCTCAGGTGATCTGCCTGCCTTGGCCTCCCAAAGTGCTGGGATTACAGGCGTGAGCCACCGTGCCAGCCTCATTTTATTTTGTTTTTTAAAATTATTTTATTTAATAATTTTAAGTTCCAGGGTACATGTGCAGGATGTGTATGTTTGGTACATAGGTAAACGTGTGCTATGGTGGTTTGCTGCACCTAACAGCCCATCTCCTAGGTATTAAGCGCAACACGCATTAGCTCTTTTCCCTAAAGTTCTGCACCCACCCCAGCTCCCTCCCCCAACAGGCCCCAGTGAGTGTTGTTCCCCTCCCTGTGTCTGATTTTAGTCCTGTGCTGTGAACAGAGGCACAGAAAAGGAAGGACTTCCCCACAGCTTTTGCAGAGCTGGGACAGTGCAGGACTGCCTGGGCAATTCTGCAGAGAGTCCTGGGTGAGTGAGGCATTCGTGGGACAGGCCTCCAGATTCTGCAGGACTCTCAGTCTGGGGCAGAGGCAGAGCCCAGGAAGCAACAGGAAGATGAAGCACTGAACCTAAGTGTGGGAACTGCACCACCCTCACCCTGGGAGCCCGGAGGCAACTCCCCACTCCACTTACGATCCTAATCTCTCTTCAATGTCATAGAAGTCAGATACTTTTTGTTCGGTATTGACTGTCACCGTCCGGTAATCAACCTCAGGCTCCTTCTCATCTGTGGGGCACAGATCAGGGTCAGTGTGAGCCTCAGATGCCCCCACTCAGCCCCCTCCACCCCGAGAGCCCGACCTGAGGACAGGGGGCTGCACTCACCATCGTCTGACACTTCCACTTCATCCTTCGGCTCTGGGGGGACACAAGGAAGGACAGAGAGGACACAGGTGATTAGTACTGAAGGCCCACTGAGAGCAAAATGTGCTGGGGGCCTTGCCAGGCCTCAGCCTCCCCAGGCAGAAGACTACCAGGCCCAGAGCTCTGGGCATCCCTTAGGGCTGGTCAGTCCATGCAGCAAACAGGGCCTGGTGCAGACTGGCAGGTGCCAGCCTCCTCTCTCCACTCAGCTCCACCTCTCCAGCAGGTCTCCCCTCTGGCGCATCCTCTCTGGCCTCATGGTCCCAGCTGTACCCTTCTCCACATCTCATCCAACCCCTCCTGGCTTTCAGAACCTGCACACAACTGTAACAGTCTCTTTCTGCCCTGGCTCAAAAATCAGCAACTTATAATTGCTTCTAGTGTCGAATCCACGTAGCCATTCTTTGAACGTCACTGACGGCATCCCAGCAGTGGACCAAGTATCTTGCCAGTTATTGTGGGCATTCGAAACATAGTATACAGAAGGCACACTCTCTCTTGTACCTTATAATTTAGTTCAAGAGACAAAAACATATATACATGAAGTATCCATTTACAAAGTGTACCACAATCACACACACCATGGTTCAAACTGAATACACAACAGAGGAGGGTGACACCAAATGGGGCAATTGTAAATGAGAGCAATTATTCTTGGAAGAAATAGCCTTTGAGTTGTGTCTTAGAGGAAATGATGAAATGCAACGAGGGGGTGAGTGACGTCACACAAATGAAACCAACAAGTATTTGTGAGGCAGGGTAGGGAGGGACACAGTCATACCAGCTGCTCCCATGGCTGTGTCAGGAGTGAATGGGGCCTGGGGAACAGTTGGGGATCCCAGGAACAGGCAGGTGTCCAGCAGAGCACACCCACTTCAGAGCTCTGGGCCTTCCTTTACCTTGATATGGGTTTGTGTGTCGACAATTGTGCCACCCTGGCTTCCTGACCTCGGCTGAGCGCCTTTCCCTTCCTAGGCCTTGGTTTCCCCATCTGTAAGAGGAAGATTTGCACCTAATGTCTCTGGCCCTGGCTAGCTCTGGGTGCCACGCGTCATCGTGTGCTGTGTCTTAGACAGTGGCTTCTCGGCCAGCGTCTGGGCTGCGTCCCTGCTGACAGCTGGACAATGAACGGGAGGTTTCCTGAGGAAGCGGAACAAATATGGGAGAGAAAGCATAGAGAGAGGAAAAGGATTTTTAAAGTGTGAGAGAGAGAGAGTGTGTGTGTGTATGATAGTGTGTGAGAGTGTGGGTCGGCGTGTGAGTGTGGACATATGAGTGTGTGAGTTAGTGTGCATGCACCAGTGTGAGAGTGTAAATGTGAGTATGTGAGATAGCATAGGAGTGTGAGCGTGAGCATGGGTGTACAAATGTGTGTGAAAATAGTATGAAATTGTGGGAGCATTTGCATGTGTGGGACAGTGTGTGATCTAGTGTGGGAATGTGTAAGAGTGTGGGCTCATGAATGTGAAGGCATGAGGATATGTGAGTGTCAATGTGTGAGATAGTGTGGGACAGTGTGTGTATGAGTGCATGGGTGTGTGTGTGTGGGATAGTGTAGGAGTGTTGAGTGTGAAAGTGTGTGTGGGATAGTGTGGGAGTGTGTGGGAGCCTGCAAGTGTGTAGGAATATGTGAGTGTGAGTGTGGAATGATGTGTGTGTAAAACTGTGGCAGTGTGACTGTGTGTGTGTGCGATGGTGCATGTGTGTGTGGGACTATGGTAGTGTGACTGTGGGGTGGCGTGGGGGGACTATGGTGGTGTGTGTGAGTGTGGGATGATGTGTGTGGGACTATGGTAGTGTGACTGTGTGGGGTGGCGTGGGGGGACTATGGTGGTGTGACTGTGTGTGGGGTGGCGTGTGGGGACTATGGTAGTGTGTGTGAGTGTGGGATGTGTGTGTGGGACTATGGTAGTGTGACAATGTGGGGTGGCGTGGGGGGACTATGGTAGTGTGTGTGAGTGTGAGATGTGTGGGGGGACTATGGTAGTGTGACTGTGAGTGTGAGAGTATATGGGATGGTGTGTGGGGGGACTATGGTAGTGTGACTGTGTGTGGGATATGTGTGTGGGACTATGGTAGTGTGACTGTGTGTGGGATATGTGTGTGGGGTGGCGTGGGGGGACTATGGTAGTGTGTGTGAGTGTGGGATGATGTGTGTGGGACTATGGTCGTGTGACTGTGAGTGTGAGAGTATATGGGATGGTGTGTGGGGGGACTATGGTAGTGTGACTGTGTGGGGGGGATGGTGTGTGTGTGTGGGACTATGGTAGTGTGACTGTGTGTGAATTTGTGAGATGGTGTATGTTTGGGACTATAGTGTATGAATGAGTGTGTGTGGGATGATGTGTGTTGGAACTGTGGTAGTGTGACTGTGAGAGTGTGTGTAAGAGTGAATAAGACTCGGGGGGGAAAGTGTGGTTTGCTGAAAGCCCTGAAGGCAAGGCTGAAGCGAGGAGGGAAGCCGAAGCATGGGGTCAGGGGTGTGGGTCAGATGCTGCCCGGGGCGGGGTGAGTGAGCAGCTGAGCCCTGGAGTGCCCTGCAAGCTCTGTGCCAGTGACAGCTGCATGTAGGGTGGGAAGAAGGTGCAGTGGGCACCGTGGACAGACAGCCTCTCTACCACGCTGAGGGCAGAACAGACAGCAAGAAGCTGGACAAATAATGGGAGGAAAGGTGACATGCTTCCAAAAGGGAGATCTGCCTCTGGCTGAAAAAGACCTTTGTAAGAGTTCGTGAGCACGTGACCAGGAGCAGGAGACACTGTGATTTGTTCAGAGTTCTTAACATGCTGCTGACAAAGCTTAGTATTAAAAAAAAAAAAAAAAAAAAAAAAAAACTAAAACTAAACATGAGTGGGATTGTGAAGTCTATTTTATCACAGAAAGGAAACTGCCATGGGAAAATAAAAAAGGATGAGATAGACAGGGACTTCCAGATAGAGTCTAGCTGAAGTATCAGAGGTGGGTTTCACAGTTACTGTCAGGATGTGGGCCTTACTGATCAGTATTCCTAAATCCACATGTTGGAGGTTAAGAATGGCATTGTCCAATTCACAGGTGGAAAGGATGACCGAGAGCAATGCGATAGAAGCCAGGAACGGAGTCAGCATTCAGGAAAATCTGATCACTCTACCTTTTAGGCTGGTGAACCCTAAAGTATACAGTTAAAACCCAAGACAGAGAGAGCAGTTCCTCAATCTACTGCTCGGGCCATCAGACGCTGTCACAGGGCAGAGTGTGCACCAGCCCCAAACAGGGATTAGTGCTGAGTAGCTATGCAGAGCACCCTGGGCACCTGCCCCGGAGCTATGGCTGTCGCAGTCAGAAAGCCACCATGGAGCTGGAGGCGGCATGCAAGGCCACTGAAGGGAAGGGCTATATCTTAAGACAATCAGAAAAGGTGAGGCCTCCGTGATTGGGAAAGAAGTCTAAGGTGGACACGATTTTAAAGAAAATCACACAATCACCAAGGGTGAGATGAGGGTTTCAGACTTTGCATCAGCTCATGTCTAGTGCACCTTGGGGGAACCATTTAGTGTTCTACCTCACGTAGGAGGAAGGCTGGAGGGATATGGAACTCACACGCGAGAGGTACCATTAGAATGATAAGTAGGTTCAACAGACATTTAGGTTAGTTCAGTGATGATATTTTAAACAGGCTTTTGAGAAAAGCAGAAAGATTGGAGTCAACGAGTGACGGAACACAGTGGATGCTGGTTACTGGACCAGGTCTTTGACACGGAATCATCCTATTTACAGTCAGGGGTCCCCTGTCTTGACCTGTGGTGTTGCTGTCTGATACAGTGGTTCACCTGTTGAGGCATCCTTTATTTCTTGTTCCTGTGCCACATTTTCCCAGCATGGCATGGAGACCAGTGTATTCTGAGAAGCAGAGTGAGAAGGAAAAGGAGAGGGCAGCTTTCCTGGCCTGGTGTCAGTCTTGCGAATGGCCCAGCAGCAGGGGGCTCTCCCCACATGCCTTGAAGGGGGCATCCAGTCCTAGAGCTGGCCCCTGCCTGTCATTGTGAGCCCAGGTAGACAGCCGCAGAGCTAGCCTCTGGCCTCACTTAGGAGCCCACACCCACCCCTCACCTTCCCCTCTCACCCTGGAGGTCTGTAGCAGGTCTGGTCTGCTTCTCCTGCTAATGCTTTGGGGGAAGGACCGAGATTATTCTCAAGGAATTCCAGCCCCTCTTTCTAGTGCACTGTGTTCCTTTATGCTGCAGGAAACTCTGATCAAGACTCCAGGCTAAGCTGGGAGCAGTGGCAAGTGCCTGTAGCCCTAGCTATTTGGGAGGTGGAGGCGGGAGGATTGCTTGAGCCCAGGAGTTCAAATCCAACCTATGCAACAGAGTGAAACCCTATCTCTTAAAAAAAGACAGAAAGTATCCAGGCTGCTACATCCCCTTCTGCCTTTCCATTCTTGTCTTGCCTCTCTTCTATTTGAGGGGCAAAATGACTACAAGGGGAGGAGTGAGAGAGAAGTAGAGGAAAGACCACAGCTCAATTAGCAGAGCTCTTGGTGCATAAAGGGTTGTTGAGAAAAGTGAACTGGTTTCCATCTTTCCACGAGGGAAGGAGCTAAAATTGCAGAAGAGTCTTCGGCTGAACTTAAAAAAAAAAAAAAAAAAAAAATCTATTCAGAATGAGCAATGAGATCCAAGAGCTAAGTGGAAGGCTATTTGGAAGATGGTTCTGAGATATTTCTGCAAACAGATGAGAGTCTTGCTACCCTGGAGCAGTGTTTGGGAGAAGACCAGTTTGAGTGCTCGGGACCCTCACATGGCACAAGTCCAGTCAGTCCCCTGGACAGAGAATTGTCCCTTCCCACAGCCAAGGACTGTTGCACACCCAGTGAGCACTAGAGGGCACCCCAGTCCCGGAGACAGCCTCTGAGGCCAGGGCATAGATGCAGCCTGGGATGGGAGCAGTACACAGGCTTTATATCTCTAACTGTCCTGGGGGTTGCAAGGATGCTCCAGTTCTGTAAGAAGCCTCAGTCACAGCATCTGTTTTGCTAACAATTATACAGACTAGAAAAAATTAGGGTTAGGAGCAGGGATGGAGTAGATTTGAGTGACAGCAGGATTCAAGGGGGAGTATAGTTCAAGACCTGGCTGGACTGGGAAGGGGCGGACTGTGTTAAGGAGCTGGCTCTGTGCACTTGGGTTTGGGAGTGCACTGTCAGTTCAGGGAGCCTAGTCTTAGGAGTGGCTCTGACATAGAGAAGCTGCTGGAGCTCCATGGGGAGCCCACGCTTTGTCTCCTACTGTACCCCCAGTGCCCAATGGCAGTGCCTGGAACACAGGAGGGGCACAGAACACAGGGTGAATGAATGTGGGGTGAGGGCTAGGGTGCAAACAGGGATGCAGATGAGGCACGAGAATGAAGTAGAAGAGCGAGAGGCAGGAGTGGCGGTGACTGTGGTGTTAGTGGTGAAGGTCAGAGCCAACATTAGCTGGGCTTTGTGGAGAGTGGGTTAATCAGCAGTGCCTTCTTCATATGATCCCACCCCTCCTGCTCCACAGAAATGACCTGCAATGACCTCCCACTCGATGCCACCTCTTTGCCACCTCCCCCACAGGCGTGCACACACATGCCACTTCCCTAGGGGCCATTTCCCTCTTCAGCAGAGGGATGGCCAAAAAGCTTTATAACTAATAAGCATCCGAGCAGACTGCAGAGGACTTTTGTCTGGAATCCCCCCAACCAGAGACCTCTGCCCTGAGGTCTAACGCTTGCCAACTGTTCTGCCCTCTTCGTCCTCCCCCTTGGTAATCCAGCCAGCCTGGGATGGGAGCAGCTTCCTGTCTGGAAGCCCTGGGTGGACTGGACCCCTCCTCTGGATTTCAAGTGATTTCCACATTGCCCTTTATCTGAAAGGGGTGGCAGCCGGGGAGGGGGAGTCTGATGGCCCAGAGAGGGTTCAGGGGACTGATGGCCAGGAACAAGGGAAGGCCACTTGCCCCAGGCAGACACCGGCAGACTCTCCCCACAGCCCTGGGAGCAGCTGTCCTGGACCCCTGGGGGCCACATCTTGCAGCTCTTGTGGACTCTGTTCCTGCTGCCTGGGGTTAGTCAGGAATTCTCCAGTCTCTCCTCCTTTACACCAGAGCACAGACCTGGACGATTTCCTTTCCAGCCAATGAGCATCTTCACACCTCAATCTTATTCCTTTTCCTGTTACTTCCCCAAGTAACATCCTAACAACACAGAATAGAATTTGATTGCCCCCCTCGCACCCTAACTCTATGCAGCCCCCACTCTGCTCATTTCAAAGGGATGCTGTGTGCATGTGTGTGGGTGTGTAAGAAGACAGTGATGGCAGCTTTGTGACTCAGTGTCCCCTGACAGACATTTGGAAGTGGCTAGTGGGTGGGATGCCTGCGAAAGCTGTCCCAGGAATGGGCACCATGCCTCTGTGACTTGCATCATTGCTCTCAAGGAGACCTGCTCTATGCGTATTGACAGGGTTCAGCGGGTAAAGGCTGCCCCACACACAGCTGCTCACATACAATTGTGAGCAGTTGGTATGTTTTCCAATGGTACCCTAACTTTCTTTCTGGAGCCCTTGTTTAATTGAAAGTAAAGTTTTAATACCTGTTTTGTACCTAATTTTCTTTTTTTTTTTCAAAACTAAAGAGGGTCATCAAATCAGATGACAGTTCCCACACTCACGATGCCTCTAGCTATCTGGTGATGCCAGGCTTGCTCCCTTTCTATCTCCTTTGATACTTTATTCTTCTACCATCTGCCTCACGACTTTACATTCTGCTGTCTCCGAGAGCTCTCTTCCCTCGATGTCCCTCCACCTTCTCCTTACCCTCAAGCTTTTCTTATCCTAAATTCTTTCATTCTTTTTTTCGTTTTTAGAGAGGGAGTCTTACTGTGTCACCCAGGCAGGAATTCAATGGTACGATCATGGCTCACTGCAATCTCTGCCTCCTGGGTTCAAGTGATCCTCCTGCCTCAACGTCCTGAGTTGCTGGGACCACAGGCACATGCCACCATTCCTGGCTAATTTTTTGTGCTTTAGTAGAGATGGGGTTTTGCTGTGTTTCCCAGGCTGGTCTTGAATTCCTGAGCTCAGGCAATCCACCCACCTCAGCCTCCCAATCCATCCACCCTGGCCTCTTATCCTAAATTCACAATGTCCTTTTCCTGTTCTTCACATAAAACTCCATGCTTCTGGCCTCTCTTTTTTCCATTTATTCCTTAACCAGGGCAACCATATTTCTACTCAATGGAAATTCTATGAACTTTGATCACAAAGATCATCACCAACAAAAGGACGAAATCCGAAGACACTCTGAGTCCTCATCTCCTTCATCTTTATTTAGCATTGGATGCAGTTCATGAAGCCCTCTTTGTAACTTCCCCCTCCCCTGTTTCTTTGAGACTCCAGCTTCCTCTTGGTTCTCTCCCCTCTCCTGGTACTGTCAGCTCCTTCCTTATGGTATTGGTATTGACTTTCTCTACCACACTCTCTGCAGCCTTATCAATGCCCATGATTTCAATTATCAATTAAATAGTGAAGACTTCTAAGTCTGCAGCACTAGCTTAAACCTTTCTCCTGGCCGCTAGACCCAGCAGTCTGAGGATGCCTTCCCTTGGCTGTCCCTCAGATGCCTCAACTCAGCAGGGCTGAAACCGCAGCTCCCTCTCTTCCCAGACTCCGTGTTACATAACCTCCAAGTCACTCAAGTAAGGAACTTGGAAGGCAGTCTGACCTCTTCCCTCAGTCTAACCAAAGGAGCACAGGTTTCAGACCAGACAGCTCTGAGTTCAAGCATCAGTTCACCAATTACAAGCTCTATGACTTCGGGGAACTAGTGTCTCCCTCTAAATCTCATTTCCCCTATCTGTACAATGGGGATAATAACAGTATCTGCTTCATTGGGTTATTGGGATTGGATGAAATGATGCCTATAAAGTGACTGACAAATCATAACCTTAGAGTAAGTGCTCAATACATGTTAGCCATGGTGAATTATAACGATAAACCACTAGCTGGCTCTTGAATTTGTGCTCTTACCCTGGCCAGGAACTGTAAGTCATCTTAGAATCTTCCCAGTTCTCTCCCTCAACTCTCTATGAAAAAAGTCATCAAGTATGGTCAATTCTACCTCCTGAGGCTTGAAGTTAGTGCCCTTTCCATCTCTCTCCCTGATTGTCATCACAGAGGCCCATCTGGTATGGCTGACTGCAGTCTCATCTCCTCTGACCCACCTGCTACTCCAATGCTTCTCAAACGTTTGTGTGCATGCAAATCCCCTAAGGAGTTGATCATTTCAATCAAGGTCCAGAAGGGCCCGTGGGAGTCTGCATTGGCAAGAAGCTCCCAGGATGCCAAGGCTGCTGTTTCACAACTGCACTGTGAGTAGCAAAGCTCTGCTCTTTCCCTAGTTCTCTAAAAACCAGATCCAAACTTCTCGATCCCCTGCCTGAGAATCTTTGATGAACTTCACAACTTAACCTAAAATGCCCTTTTAGTCTTACTTCCTCCTGTTCAATTTCACACAATATATGCCTTGGCTACACACAAGCATCTCAAAATGCCACACACTGCCATTGCTTTGTACCTTTGTTCATGCTGTTTCCTCTTGTAGAGTGTGCCTTTCCTTATCTTCTCTGCCTTGTAGAATCCTATCCCTTTTTCCAAGACTCAGATTTAAGTGTCACCTTCTCTAGGAAGCCTTCGGTGGTCTCTATGGAAAAATTCTCCATGCACTCTGCTATGTCCCTTGGTTCTTTGTTTACCCAGCTATAATAGCATGCATCCTTTCTCATAGTTAGCCATACAAACATCTGTTCCCCTAGATTTTAAGCTCCATGACTTATCTTTGTGTCCCAAGAATCTGACAGTGAGTAGACACTCAAAATATGGATATGAGGAGGACAGAGGAGGTGGAGGGTAGAAGAGGAACTTGAGGCCTACTGGAGCTCCTATGCTCCTAACACACCATCACCCCCTGGTGGCAGCATGCCAAAATTGCTGGTTCAATGTTTTTTGAAATGTCCTAAGTATTAATACTTCTTTTGAAGAATGGCTCAACATCACTGTCTTGGAAACCAAGACCCCAAAAGACCCTGCCAGTCATCATTAATGTTTTCTTAGTTCCTCTTCACCCCTCTCAGTACACAAGGTCAGTGATGCACATTAATTTCAAGCTACTGATGAACTGTAGGCAGCCTACCTTCAGGTTTCTCTCCTACTCTTGTGAGTTCGGACTCCTGGCTTGGCTCACTGGTTCCATATACATTGATTGCACGTACACGGAATTTATACTCGTGGTCAGGCAGTAGGTCCTGGACGTTGAAAGAGGTGCTGCGGCATGTGGCTAGTTCCTTCCATGTCTTGTTGGCTGAGTCCCAGATCTCGATGCTGTAGGACTGTACAGCACTGCCCCCATCATATGAGGAGCCATACCAGGACAGGGTCAGCGAGGAGCTCCGAATGTCAGAGGCACAAGGTGTGCCAGCTGGGGGGTCTGGCTTATCTGGGAATAAAGAAGCACAACATCATCCACACTTTCCAGAATTGCAGGGAAAGGAAGCTTGTGAATTACCACTGTCACGGGGGAAATGCAACCTAGAGAACCCACTCTGAAGTCCCTGGTCCTGCGTCCCTTTCCCACATCTGCACACTACAGTTAGAGCTGTGCACAAACCCACCTGTACAGAAAGCCCCATGTATAACTATTTGCTCCAAAAAAGCACCTCCCCCTTTTTTGGCTAATTTTCCAGTCTACATGCAAGTCACGATTTCCTGTACTTTGCCCAAGTCATAAACATATTTCTCCGAGTAAACAGATCTAGGAAGCTGCCGAGAAGGCGTGGGCTATTTTTCATCAAAAACATGTTTTGAGAGAGAGAGTTCAGCCTGAGTGTGTGTGTGTGTGTGTGTGTGTGTGTGTGTGTGTGTGTGTGTCTGTCTGTGCCTGTCCTTCAGGCCCTTGGTCAATGACCTGTGACATAACTAGGGGTCTGCTTCAACTTTCTCTGGGTCTTGAGAAATGCCTGCCTCACTACAAGCACAGTGTTTGTGCTCTGAAATCAGAAGATTCAGGTTTGAACACAGATCTGTCTCCACACAGTAGCTGTTAATTGCCCTGTGCCTCAGTTTCCTCATATGTAAAATGTGAATAACAGCACTTACCTCACAGATGGTTGTGAGAAATTCTTAGAATCTGAGTGGCTGGCTTGACTAGTCATTACTTTCAAGATTATTGTAGGAGTTTATTTCTAACTTTAATATACTTAAAAATTACTCCTACCCTACCTCTTTTATTCTCCGAGGGCTGTTGGGATATAAATAATTTCAAAAGCAAACCACAATACCATCCCTGACTAATGGACAGAAAATGAGCTGAGGACACAAATAAGAAGTGGCCCTTTTGGCTGGCTGCCTTCCCATTCAGATGACCTGGCCTCAGAACTAGTAGTCCTGCCAACTTCAAGTCAAATCATGGTAGCCAATACTTTAATGAGGCTCTTGAGTTTTGCTGATTTTATTAGTTGCTTATCTGAGCAAAACTCTCCTATTTTTCAGATTTAGTTTTTGCAGATGGTTGGTTAGTTACAGATATCTGTGTTCATTAACCCTTCATCTCCCTCAATGCTGTTTGAGTTCATGAAGCCCCACAAAGTCGCAATTGAAACCATACTTTTAAGCTAGGTCAACTCCAGCAAATTTGAAAGCAGTTTGTTTGCCTGACCGTCTCATTTAGAGGAAGGCCACGTGTGTTCCTATGCAACAATTCTGCATGTTCTTCACATGTACCCCAAAACCTAAAATGCAATAAAATAAATAAATGGGGAAAAAAAAAGAAAATGATGCTAATATGCACCTACCGCTTAGGGTTTTTGCAAGCATCAAGTAAGCAAACATAGATAAAATATTTGACCGCTACTCTCCCACCCCTAGCAAGGCAGGAAGGCCAAAGGGAATTCCTGCAAATGACCCTATGTATATGGAGAAGAAAAATCTGCATGTGCATATGAGTATATATATTCATATTCATTCTTGTCCCCTCTCCCAGCCCTGCTGATCCACATTCCAGCCCAGAATGCACTGCCCAGAAACTGTCTATCCCCAGTAACTAAAGCCCTGGGAATGATTCTGGGATTGTGACAGTGCCACTTTCCAGTGCTGTTTCCATGCCAGAGGCTTCCTGCGACAGAACCACTTTCGCTGGCTGTTTATGTTCTCTTAGAAAAACCGTTTGTTCTGAGAGATATATTGGCCTTTTTTGAAACATTTCTGGTTTTGGCGAAGATGTTTATTACTCTAAATTCTCTTAGAGACAAGTGGTTCAAGTTCTCTCAAGACCGAGCTAAGGAAGTAAAAAAGCCTAAAGAGGGACAGAAGACAGACCCACTACTCCCCCTAGAGAAAGCTGCCTGGAAACCATGTGATTGGCCACATCTGAAGTCGTGTGGGCTTATAAATGAATGCACTCTGCCAACTGATCTTCTTTCTGCTTTGGTCAAGAAAAGAAAACTAAGAAATGGGTGTTGCAGAAGAGGTGCCATTTGAACCCCACCCTGTTATAGATGCCTCTTGGCTGAGAATGAGAACCTATACATGACGTATATGATATGTAAGACTTGTTGCACAAAAGAAGATGCAAAATTTAGGGAGAGGGACTTTAATTCCAAGTGAAAATCCAACACTTTTAAGGAATTTGCTACCAAATTAAGGAGTTCAGAAAAGACCCAAGTCAGAAGTCCTATGAGACTGGAGGCCTCCCACACCTCCACCTGCCTTTAGAGCCATGGGCTGTACCTGATACTTTCTGTTCTTTCTAAGCTACAGAGCCCCATGCAGCAGCTGCACTAGCGAGGGATGAAAACCCTCATAAAAGAACAGATGTCCTTGGAACAGAGCGCTCCTGTGAGCCTCTCCTCCATGGCGACATGCTCAGAGTGGTGGGGAGACCCTGGGCATCCCTAGGCAAAGGAGATTCCACATTTCCTCTGAATTCTCCCAGGGCTCCCTGGAGGCTTGACTAACAGAATAGGAAACTCAGCTGAGTCTAAGAGAAGGGTCGCCAGTGGCGCCAGCTTCAGGATTTTCTCCTCGGCAAATGTTCTAATTCCCAGGAAAACGGAGGATCCCGTCCTACAGCTTCCTACTAGAGTAACTGCCGACGAGGTCTCATTGTGCTTGCTTCTTGGAAGGTGACCAGTGGCTGTGCCTAGTTCCACCTGGATGTCCCTGCCCTGGGACTTCAGCAACTGCTGGAAGGGCCCCCAAATGTCATCTACCTGGATAATCCTAGCCCTTGGGAAATGGATCCTCAGCAGCTAAGGCATTTTGCTTACCAAGAAAACCCAGTAGTCAGTGGCAAAGCCAAAAGGAGATTCCAAGAAGCCACTGGGCCCTCGCTCCAGGGCTCGGGACTTTCCAGGCTATCAGGCAGAATGAGCTCAACAAGGCATCTTGCTTAAGCCTGAGCTGAGCATTCAGATGGGAAATCATGCAAGCTCTAAACTCAGTATTTGGGGATTATTGGGTATTTGGGGTTCTCCCTACTTGTTTCGCTCCTTTAAAGATATGAAAAGAGACTTGCTTTTCTCATGTTGGGTGAGTGACCTTAAGGAATCCATCTGGGTGTGCTGCTCACTGCCCTCTTCCTTATTCCCCACAGGCCAAGACCAGGGGCACATGTGTCAGAAGAGGCTCTGAGCATCGCAAATTCCTGGGCTGCCTTTTAAAATATAATAAGTCTCCAAAATAGCCAAATATCACTCACTTAAGCTAACAGAGGGAAAAGCTAGTTTTTATTATCATTTGAAAAATAGGAGTCAGAGATGATCTGAAAAGAAAGTGGTCCTTTAAAGAATATACAATAAGAGAAGTTTGCTGCTAACAAGTAGGAGTTGTATTAAACTGGCCTTACTTGGCTGATCTGTAAATGCATGCTTCTAGAGTGCACAAAAACTGTCTGGAGCAGGCTAAGTGATTCCCGTTTTATCTCATGTATGTTTTACATCTGCTTAATAAACCCTGATCAGAGAATACAGAGATGTCCCTGAAGATGCACAGGTAAATCTGAGCCTCCTCTAGGTTTACTTTGAACTAATATTCTAAGTGCACGAGCTCTGAATGAATGTGGCTTTGCTGTATCCATCAATGTGAGTCCTGTTTTATTGAGCAATTCTATTCTTAGCTCTTTGAGGGGGAGGCAGACAGAAAGCCTCAGTCCTCCTCCATTCCATTCCCCTCCCAGGACGGCATTTAACATGTTGCTCCTGCCAGCTGGCGGACTGCCACGCCAATGGCCCTGTCAGCGCTGGCCGCAGAGAATAAGAAACTAAACCATAAAAGGCCAGAACTGCAGCCCACTTAGTGGTGATCGGGGGAGGGGAGTGCGTGGCACTGTGCAGGAGCTGGGCATACTGGGGGCTGGGGGAGGGATGGCTGAGTACAGAAAAGCAGTTCAAAGAATCTGACCCCAAAGTTGCTTAAGGAGGAACAGATGAGAGAGAACATCAAAGAAAAGTGGAAACTGATGCTTGCTGATAGGACGGGAGAACACGGCCAAATCAGGGCTTCAGAACAGATCTAAATGTACCAGCAAACTGGATTGCCAACACCAAGCCCCCACAGGTTCCTGACTCCTTGGGAGGAAGTTATTCAAATAAGCCCCTGGAGTCGCCATAAAGAGACAGAGTGAGAAAAGGGTTGTTCTTCTCCTTTAGAGATGAAAAAAACTCATTCCCTGACTCCTTTGTAGACCAGTCTTCCCCAGTCTGAAACTTCTAATTGAAAGAAACGAATGAATGAGGGCCAGAGGAATACAAGAGGAAAAGGGGATATGTGGGACAGGATGACAGACCCTGAGAAATGGCCAAAATGGAGCATGGGGTGAAGAAACCAGGCCAGGGAGAGGAACAGAGCAAGTGAGAAGGCAAAGAGAAATATGGACAATTGAGGATGGGGAGTGGATGCTGGAGCTCAGTCCTCTGTGAATTCCCTCTTCCAGGTCTCCTGTGTCTAGGGACAATCTTCCAGGGGGCTTTGCAGTACTTCCTGTCTGGGGCGTTGAGCCAGGGCCTAGAACCCATGGTCTGTTCTGGTAGCTGGAGGGGGCACAGCTCACTGACCACCTCCTTTGTCTTCCCAGCTCCGTTTTACTTTGTCCTTTGTCTTCATGTCTTCCCTATTCACCTGGTTGGACAAGGGCTTCTTCTTCCCCAAATGCTTAGGGGCTGGAGAGAAGTGCTACAGGGCTTTCTAAGGCTTAGCATGAGAAAAATGGAAGGACAGACATCAACAACTCCCTGGCATGTGGACAGTGCCCCAGAAGGCTTGCATGTCCTCCTCAAGATGAATTTTGCTGCCAGAGTGTCCCTTTACCTTTTGGAACATTCTGTACCTACTTCACACTCCCATGAGTGGCACTGGAGGACAAGTGCTTGAAAGTTTAGAGCTAGTTCTCACTTAGGCCCTGATGCACGATGTCACTTTGCTCATATTAGTCCTCAGTTTCCCCTACATAAGGCTGGAAACATCAGTCATGTCCATCCTAGTCCTAAGCTGAGGATACAAGATGAAGATAGGGAAGAAAAACTGCTTGAGAACTAAGTCAGGGAATCATAGAATGTCAGAGAACAAAGTCAAGGAATCATAGACTACTAGAGAATTACAGTTGAGGAAACACAGAATGTCAGAGAATAGAGCGGAGGAATCAGAATGTCAGAGAATATAGTCAATGAATCAGAATGTCAGAGAACAGAGTTGGGAATCATAGAATGTCAGAGCTACAGGAGACCTTAAGAGTTACTGTCTCCAAATTCTAACTTCATGTCTAGATACCTCCATAAGAAAGATTCCAGGGGAAGGCTTCTAACCACCAGAGCCACACGAACCCTGTTACCAGCAGATCCTTTTGTTCTGTGTGCCCACGTGTGTGTGCGCCAGGAGCACACAGGAAAGGCTAGTATGCAGGAAGTCAAGGTCGGGACCACCACACACAGCTGCGTTTTGTGCACTGCAGAAAAGGGGCCTAGTGAGGGCATCTGGCTAATCTGTGCTCCCCAAGGCCAGGTCATGAGCTCTGAGGTGAGGCTGGAAGTGCTGTGCCCTTTTCACTCTACCCAGCAAGGCCCCTTTTTCTAGTTTTCACAAAGGTACCCTATGAGCTTGAAAGCCAAGAACAAATGGAAAACCTGCTTGGGTCTGGTGCACATATCAATAAACACCAGGTCAAAGGCTTCCACATGCACAACATATGAAGGCCCACAAATGCATGAGACAGAGTCTAGTCTCTATCTGTCTGCTCCTCTGCCTGCTCATTCTGCCGTCCTGAGCACCTGCCACACGGGGAACAACTGGAGCAGAATATGACAACAGTGGGAAACTGGTTAGAAAGCTCTTTTGATGCCCCAGGAGAGCGTTGACCAGGGCGCAAAGACAGTGATTAGGAAGGAGAGAAAAAGTGAACTTGAGAATCAGTCGGGAGATAGACCCAACTCAATCCTGGGATGAAGGAGGTGATAACGAAAAGTGAGTGCAGTCAGGATTGGGAGGTCATGGTGACCTCAGAAAGGCAGTCCCGGCAGACTAATGGGGTGTGGGGGTGAGGCCACAGGAAGCTGGAGGGTGCTGGGGGATGAAGAAGCAGGAATGCAGTAGAGGCTCACACTGTCAGAGAGAGAAGGTAGGGTGGCTGGAGCGAGAGAGAACACTGCAGGAGTTATACATGCCTGTGCATCTGGCTAAGATGGTGATACTCATGGGCTGCTGGGAGGAGCCAGGAGAGAGGAACAGGCTGGAGAGAGAAGTGGGAATGGTGGAGCTCCCCAGGGTCTGGGGTCCAGAGCACAGAATGAGGAAGGAACCTTTGGCAGGACCAAGGTGGGCCATCCCCAGAGCCAGAAGGATGGAGTCAGGATGGGGACAGACACAGACACCTGTGGTGTAGGGGCCAAGAAGTTGACCACGTTTATGCATCATGTCTCATATTTCTCAAAGAAGCTAGATGTCAAGGCCTGAGGGCAGGGAACGCCAGGAACAGCTATCACAGAGAGGTGCTGATAGAGACAGGGAAAAGGATTTCTGCCCAGCTGTGGCCCCTTCACTGAGCCTGGAGGCCAGCAGGGTCTAGCAGGGAGTCTGTGGGTTGCTGTGATCTTCCTTCTGTGGTACCTTGAAAATCAGGCACAGGAGTGGCAAGAGAGAACAGGTGATGAGGTCCTGAGGCCCATGCTTCTTGCCTGGGGGCTCGCTGCCTTCCCCTTGCCCCATGCTGCATGCCACCTGGCCAGCAGACTCACCCACGACAGTGAGGTTGACCTGGGCCTGCCTGCTGCCCAGCTTGTTCTCCACCAGCAGTGTGTAGCAGCCACAGTGCTCCTGGCGCGCGGCCAGGATGGTGAGCTTGCTGCTGTTCTCGCTGTTCTGCACCTTCATGTGCTCGCTCTCCTGGATCTAGGGGCAGAAGACAGAGCAGGGGCTGAAGCCTTAGGCCATTGGGCCAGGAAAGGAAGGGGGCTCCTCCCCTTTCCCTACTCCCTAAAGATGCAGCCGGACAAGCTGTGGGGGGCTCGGTCTGGTCTGGACTCTGCACTTCCCTGAGGCCCCTTCTCTCCTTCATCCAGAACTCAGCTTCCCTAAGGGTGCCAGGTCTGGGATGGGCAAGGAGAGTGTGGAGCAGGGATAGGATGGATGAACTAGCTGGGCACTCACTGTTCTCAGGAGTACCTGGTCTCCCTCTACCTCTCTGGAATGGGATGATAGGAGAACACATCTCAGCAAAGCCATTCACAAGGCCCACTCCTGTGGGTTCTAACCTCTTCTGTGCTGCCCAATGCCATGGCTGCTAGTCACATGTGGCTATTTAAATTTTAATTAGTTAAGTGGAAACAACCCAGATGTCCATCAACTGATGAACAAATAAACAAAATGCGTTATATCCTGACAATGGAATATTTATTATTGATTCATTGAAAGGAATGAAGTACTGATTCATGCTACAACATAAATGAGTCCTGAAAAGGGTATGCTAAATGGAAAAAAAAAAAACACTACACAGAGAAGATGACATACTGCATGATTCCATTTATATGAAATGTCCAGAAGAGGCAAATCCATAAATACTGTTAGTGGTTGTTAGGGCCTGGGGGAAGGGGAGGAACGTCTGCTAATGGGTCTGGGGTTTCTTTTGGGGATGATGAAAGTATTCTAGAATTAGATAATGGTGATGCTTGCAAAACCTTATGAATCTACTGAAACCTACTGAATTGTACACTTTAAAAAGGTAAATTTTATGGTATATGAATTATATCTTAACAAAGCTGCTAAACACTTTTTAATTAATTACAATTAAATATTCAGTTCCTCAGTTGCAGTGGCCACATTTCAAGTGCTCAACAGCCACATATGTATGGCTGGTGGCTGCCATATTGGATAGCACAAAGCTAACACATCATTGCAGAAAGTTCTGAAGGACAGAGCTGGGACTTGGCTAAACGTCTCTGAAAAGTGATGAGATTCCATCTTATTTCAGACAACAGTAGTCCAAGCATAGCTCAGGACAAACATGCCCTGGGATGCTAAAGGCGAGCTTCTCTTTTCCGTCTTTTGAGACCAACCCTGCTTTCCTCCCTGTTAGTACTACGTGCTCATCTCTGAGCTGCTGCTCATCTCTGGGCTTAGGAGAATTGACTGGTTTTATAACAGAGCAACAGAGTGCTCAGAATAAATCTTTTTTTTTTTTTTTTTTTTTTTTTGAGATGGAGCCTCACTCTGTAGCCCAGGCTGGAGTACAGTGGCACAATCTCTGCTCACTGCAACTTCCACCTCCTGGGTCCCAGTTCAAGCCATTCTCCTACCTCAGTCTCCCAGGCAGCTGGGATTATAGGCATGAGCCACCATGCCCAGCTAATTTTCGTATTTTTTAGTAGAGATGGGGTTTCACCATGTTGGCCAGTCTGGTCTTGAACTCCCAACCTCATGATCTGCCCACCTTGGCCTCCCAAAGTGCTGGGATTACAGGTGTCAGCCACTGTGCCCGGCTCAGAATAAATCTTCACAACTTCCCGCTCCTGGGCCAGCCCACTGTTACAGGGTCTCTGCTGATCATGCATATGGGCACACACTATCACTGTGGGATTGGTGGAGCTGCTAGGCTCCCCAAGTCCTTTCAAAGCTGGTTGTCTGGAAATTCCAACATTTTTCTGTAGGAATCATTATGATAAACTGTAGCTAGATTTCTGGCTCAGTAAGACACAGTTCTATTTATCATACAATTCTTCTATCCAAATACTCACATTTGCTTTTATTCCTTCAGCATGTGGCAAGTTTAAGCAGTTATCACAGACAGGAATCAATGGGCTGGCACAAAATCACAGCAAGCCCATGGAGTCTAAGAGGTCATCTTGGGTCACTGGCTTGACTTTCCTGACTCTGAGTAGGATTCTAGACTGTGCTATCAAATCAGATGGGAGCCGTAGATGGTTTCTACTTTTTCCTTCACATTTTTCTGTATTACACAAATTGTCTACAAAGGCAGGGATTATTGGTAGGTTCAGAAACAAAGATTAGCAAGAACTCAGGTTTGGTGAGTGAGTGACAGGTAGGGGAGTAGCCTCTCTCATTTCTAAAGCTACGAAGAGTGAGGCCAGTTCAGCACGGCATTTCTCATCTCTTTTGGCCCAAAGGCTGTACAGGTTGTTCTCAGCACCGCCAATGGCCACCCCATCCTGTCACTGACCTGCTTTCGGAACTTCATCCAGGTACAGGTGATGGGCTGGGTGCCGGCCACTTTTCCAAACAGCTCCACTGACTCTCCTGCACGGACCTTCTGGTCCTCAGGAAACTGGATGATCTGAGGGGGCATTGCTGAGGGGACAGGGAGAAAATGAGTGAGGCAGAAGGATCTCAGGCAATCTTATCTCATTTGACGCTGCCGTCCACAGTGGTCTGCTGGCTCTTCTCTTGGCTTCTGGAAACTTCAGGGTAAGACTGAGGGCAGTGATCCCTGCTGCAGGACATCCAAGTTCTTGCACCTGCTAGCTTTGTTCACCTTTTCATTCTGATTCCCTCAGAAGTGACCCACACAATTTATTGGTTGTACTGGAATTTGTGTCTTACCCTAATTTTTCGAATTGAGCTCCTAACTCACTTATGAATTAAGCAGCATCTTGCCTTCTAACCTCTAGTCAAACGCTGGCTGGCAGGCTTGATTCAAGTCCTCAAGTGTCATCCAGTGGAAAACAGACCAGGGCTCCATATAACAAGCATACACAGAGCTGGGCACAAAAGTAGCCCTGAGGGAGTCATGTACACAAGGGCAGAGAGGAGGATGGATGGCAGGACAGAATTCACAGCAGGGGTAGGCAGGAGAGCAGCTAGTCCTGTGTGATGCTGTCAACATGGGAAGCAGAAGGAAAGGCAAAGCCGTGGAAGAGGACAAGGGGCCAGGCTGTGCAGAGGCTCGTGGTGAGCAAACTCAGCCTGAAAAATGCAGAGCTAGAACTGAGAGTGGGGTACAATGGGGTATCTCCTGGGATCACATACCCAGATGTCAGTCTAGGAGGGTAAAGGCAAAACCCCCATGGCAGATGACTTCTTTGCCCCCAGATAGTGCCATGGCCAATTACCTGCCTTCAGAGGCGTCTTGGGGGCAGGTTTCTTTTTCACAGTTGCATCACCTGAAACAAAGAAGTCCACAAGTTATTTCCTGTAGTTTTGTTTTTTCACAAAGCTTCTGATCCTAGGAAGATGTAATCTTGTCCACTGGCCCCTCATCCAGGGAGGGCTCTTATTTGAACATGTCTTTTCAGGCTGTGCAGGGTGGCTCACACCTATAATCTCAGCACTTTGGGAAGCCAAGGTGGGTGGATCACTTGAGATCAGGAGTCTGAGACCAGCCTGGCCAGAGTGGTGAAACCCCATCTCTACTAAAAATACAAAAACATTAGCGGGACTGGTGGTGGGCATCTGTAATCCCAGCTACCCAGTAAGCTGCGGCAGAAGAATCGCTTGAACCTGGGAGGTGGAGGCTGCACTGAGCAGAGATCACGTCACTGCACTCCAGCCTGGGCGACAGAGTGAGACTGTCTCAAGGAAAAAAAAAAAAAAAAAAAAGGAAAGTAAATGAATATGTCTTTTGAGAGATCACCTTGCCCTTTCACACAGACAACCTCGTAGACAAAAAAGAATGTCAATTCTCAGGGACCTATGAAAGGGTCCCTGAAGCCTCCAATGAGCTTAAAAACTCAAAAATGCTTATGCTCCCACATCCCTATATGAAGATAATGTCACACTTATTAACCACTGTCTCATCCTAACTTTCAGGAAACTCAGAAAGGAAATTATGTCATGTCAGATAAACCAACTAAAATTAGCCTTTGGTGTGGATCCAAGGGTCGCAAGCTTCCTTTGGGTCACAGACTGTGGACTGGTGGCTTTCATTTTTGTAAATGTTTGTTGGGTGGATGAATGGATGAATGAATGAATGGTCTCCTCCCTTCTTATCCCTACTTCCTCCAAATAACTCAAATAAGAAAAATGACTCAAACAGAAAAGTTGTACAGTGCAAACCTATTCACTTGGCTAAATCACAATATGGTGCATGTGCAAAAGCATCCTGAACTATTTTCATGGCTTGTTTTTCATATTTCTTTCAGGTCTTTGCTCAAAAGCCATCTAACCTATTTGTCCAAATGAAATGAAAACCTACAGGCACACAAATACCTGTATGCGAATATTTGCAGTGGCCTTATTCAAATCGCCAAAAACCAGAAGGTATCCAAATGGATGAACTGTGGTACATTGATGCTACCAACAAAAAGGAATGAACTACCGATACACAGAACACAGATGAATCTCAATGATTTATCTTTCTCTTCTGCTCAGAGGTGCCAAACTCAAAAGGTCACATACTGTATGATTCCATTTATACGACATTCTAGAAAAGGCAGAACTACAGGAATGGAGAACAGATTAATGAATGGTTGCCAGAGGTGGGGTGGGGGAGGGGTGGCCTGAAAAGGGGCACAGGGAAATGTTTTGTGGTGACAGAACCAGATTTTGACTGTGCTGGGAGTCACATGATTATATTAATTTATCAAGAGTCACAGAATTGTGCACTAAAGAGGGCGAAGTTCACTCCAACGAAATTATGCCTTACTATAAAAAGGGAGGAAAAGCCACTTCACCAGTGAGATCTTCCCTAACTACCCCATACAAACAGCAGACCTGCCCCCAGCACCCCTCATCCTTCTCATCTTGCTTTATGGTCCCCATACCCCATGGCACTTGTCACCATATGAAAAACTATATCTTCACATATGTATTTACTGTCTGCCCTTCTCCTCCCCCTAAACTGTAAGCTTTTTGAGGGCAGGGACTTTTTTGGTTCACTGCTGTATACCAATGTGGCTAACACACAGTAGGTACTCAATAATGATTTGCTGAATGAATGAGTGGGCTAATATTAACAACTATTCATCCAGAGAGATCCACCTCTGCAGATTAAGGGGAAGCAGTGTTACTGGCCTGGATATGGGTTGCTCTGTGACTGCAGGCAAGTTAGGCAAGTTAGTAATTTGTAGATTACCAGTTGTGCATTTCCATGATGGGAGGCACGCTGCTACCCACTGAATGCCCCGGGAAGATTGCGTGAGGCAGTGATTCTTGACAGGAGCACGCTGAGATCACAGAGCTGCTGGCTGCCAGCTGTGTGGTTAAGCCCAGGGTGAGAGCTTCTACCAAGTTCACCCAGGCTCACTGTCATCATTGATTCATCCGTCCATCTCCAAAACGTTACTCAGGGCCTACTATGTGCTGGGCCAATGCCAATCAGTACACATGACTAACCTGGGTACTGAGGAGGAAACCAAACAATATAAGAAATCAGGCCTGAGGAGGATCCAAGATGGCCGAATAGGAAGAGCTCTGGATTGCAGTTCCCAGGAAAAAATCAGACGGTGAGTGATCACCGTGTTTCCAAATGAATTTATGCTGCCCACAGACCCGGAGATTCCCAGGCGGAAAAGTGCCATGAGTCTCCAGCATGGCTGTTTCAGCCAGCGTAGCAGGTCTCGCACAAAAATGCACACAAATGCAGGCACCGTTTCAACTGGCGACTGGAATGCCTGGGAGACAGAGTCGCCCGTCCAACTGAAAAAAAGAGGGCTGAAACAGGGAGCCAGGTGATCTGGCTTGGCTGCTGCCACCGCCAGAAAGAGCAGCAATCTGAAATGCTCGGGATTGAGAGTTTCATGGCAAGCACAGCTGGACCCAGGATGGTCCAGCTCTGTGTGGGGAAGAGTGTCCGCCATTACCAAGGTAGTCCACCACTACCAAGGCAGTCCGCCATGACCGAGGCAGTCCATCACTACCAAGACAGTCCACCATTACAGAGGCAGTCTGCCATAATAGAGACAGTCCGCCATTACTGAGGGAGACCACCATTACCAAGGCAGTTCTAACTATACCCCTATAAACAAAACTGCAAGGAAGTTCACACAGCAGCTGGGCAGAGCCCACAGCAGCTAAGCAACACCTCTGCTGGCAGACTGTGACTAGGCTACCTCCTCGCTGGGCAGGTCATCTCTGAAAAAAGACAGCAGAATGACAGGAACTTATAAATAATCCACCTTCCCGGACAGAGCACCTGGGAGAAAAAGGCAGTTATGAGTTCCTCTGCAGCAGACTTAAACATACCTACCCAGAAGCTATTAACAGAACAATGGAGACAGACTGTCTCCTCAAGCAGCTCCCCATCCCCCTTATAACCAAAGAGACACCTCATAAAGGAGAGCTCAGGCTGACAACTGGTGGGTATCCTTCTGGGACAAAGATAACAGATGAAGAAACTGGCAGCAACCCTTACTATTCTGCAGCCACTGCAGGTGACCCCCAGGCAAGCAGGGTCTGGAGTGGACCTCCAGCAGTCCTATAGCAGCAAGGCCTGACTGTTAGAAGGAAAACTAAGAAACAGAAAGAAATAACTTCATCAGCAACAAAAAGGTCCACTCAGAGACGCCATCTGAAAGTCACCAACCACAAAGACCACAGGTAGATAAATCCACAAACATAGGAAGAAACCAGTGCAAAAAGGATGAAAATACCCAAAACCAGAACACTTCTCCTCCTCCAAGGGATCACAACTCCTCACCAGCAAGGGAACAAGGCTGGATGGAGAATGAGTCTGATGAATTGACAGAAACAGGCTTCAGAAGGTGGGTAATAACAAACTTCTCTGAGCTAAAAGATCATGTTCTAACCCAATGCAAAGAAACTAAGAACCCTGAAAAAAGGTTTGATGAAATGCTAATGAGAATAAACAGCTTAGAGAGAAATGTAAATGAATTGATGGAGCTGAAAAACACAACATGAGAACTTCATGAAGCATACACAAGTTTCAATAGCCAAACTGACCAAGCAGAAGAAA